AGTGAATGGATGGGGACTGGTATTAACATCCTTTGGGTCTTTGATGTATTGAATGAAAAGGAAACCTTTCTCTAGGAGAACATTATGAACTTGAATGGTGGGGAAAAAGGTGAGAACTAAGAACAACTAGGTTGTTTTTTCTTTAATCCAAAGTCTGACCCAACAACTCTTTTGGTCTAACCAATTTAATGACTGCTTAGTGGAGCACTGGAAGGTTGAGAGGGGCAGAAGAATTTCTGCAAAGTTGAATTTGCTCCCAAAAACATGCTGGAGCACTTGTAAGAAGTTTTGGTTCATGGTTATATTATTTTCTATTTAGAAAACAAACCCCTTTTCCAGATTTTCTAGATGTAAAAGGGAAAGGAGGGATTATTTGCTCAGAACATCTACCTTTCAAACACTTAGAGCTCCTAGAACTGCTGGCTACATCTATGATGTCTACTTGGACTCCAACTCAGTTGACATTTATGAGCCATTTCTATGAACTAGAAACATTAATGTATTTTTCCTTGAGCCTCACCAAAAATCCCTGGGTGGAGAATGAGGGGATGTAGGGCTTGTTACTAAAATGCAGTAGTTAGGGTTAGAGAAGCAAATACATTGCCCACAGTCACATAATCACCTTCCTATGGCAGTATAGGGACATTTTCTAGATTTCTTTCTTTTTTTTTTATTTCTCTACAGTGGTAATGTTAAATGCACTATATGTTGCTATGGTAGCTTGTCTTTTGATTGAGCAATGCAAGGGATTAAAAAAATGCATATCTGACTCAGGCAAATTTCAATATCATGTTCTTGGTGCCCCCTTTATTAAGAATGATTTTCTTTAGTCTCCTGGAGAGCTGAAAGTGATTAATTACCAAAAAGTGTAGTAAGTGATTACTGACATTGGCCTCTTGAGCAATGAAATAGATATAGACAATTGTCATGTCAGATTAACCAGGGTCCCTGGAGACATAGCCCAAGTTTCCATAACACTCTGTGACTCATAGCAACCCCAGGCAATTGTCTCGACGGAATTTTGGATAGGACCTGAAGTGCTTTAAGATGATCCAGTTCATCATATTAAAGTATATCTCTCTTCCTCTTCCCATAAGAGACCAATGATGCATCCTTCCCTTTTGGGTAGAAGTGGAGAATTTGAAGGAGGTCATCTCCAAGGGCATTACTTAGCTATAAAGCTCCAGTCTTTTCTGGCCCTATCCCGAATGAGCCTGATCCTATCCACATGACTTTTTCCCCCGTCTCTGTTTTGGCCTGATGGTTGGAAGGGATCAGCTGTCTGCCAGAAATCTACCCAAAGCTAACTCACAGTGTAATTGAGAGAAGTACTGACAAAGTGAGGGTGACTCAGTCAGTGGCATCAGGAGACAACCTACTTAAAATAAATAACAAAGGCAAAATGATCAACAACCTGGAAGTTTTAACTTCAGAGTCTGTTAAAATGAGAGGAGATCATATACTGATAATAGTGTGACAAGCACAAACAGATGTTATCTACAAAAGAGACATGAAACAGAATTTCCCCAGCCCAGCGTGGTTTTCATCCTCTATGCTCAGCCCCCAGTTCCTTGCAGCTGTGGCCCCTTCACGAGGCCTCAGAGGCTAAGTAGGACCTTGGCCCCTAGGTCCTCTCCTGACAGTAGACAAGAAGGAATTTGTGGGATTGAGTTTATTCCAAGTTACTTGAAAATGCAGATATTAAACATTTGAAAAATGTGCTGGAGAATTTGTGAGGAAGTCAGGTCCATGGTTATATTTTTCTCCATCTGGAAAACAAAGCCTTCTCATTTGAGAATCCATCACAAGTTAATTTTTCTGTGCACACAATCTTGAGAGCCACCATGGCATAGTGGACCCTGGCATGGGATCTAGACCTGAAGTATCTGGGTTATAATCCTGACTTCACTATTTATTAGTCCTATGACCTTGGAGAGCTCTTTGTCACCTTGGTTTCAGTAAAATGGGTCATTAATAGATTAAATGAGATAATATAGCTACATAAATCATTTGATGGAGTATCTGGCATTTAGTAAGTGCTCAATAAAAGTTAACTATCCTTTGTATCATTACCATTATCACCCCAGACATCTGTCTTTCATGCCTGTATGGAAATTCTGTCTCAGTAACCCCTCTGTGTCTGGTTCCTGGGAGCTGATATTTCTCTAAGACCCTCTCCTCCCCAGTGAGTAGTGACCTGCCTCATGTGAGTCAGTGTGTCCTCTGGCATCATGTGAGTCATTGCTCAGAATCGTGATGAGGCCATGTCCATGTGCTTGGGCACTTTTATCACCTTCCCATGCTAACTGTGTGCTGGGTACCATAGTCAACCTCTGGGCTCAGCTATCTCCTAGCAACTGTCGGGGTATCTGCTACCTCACACTTGACCCACACTCTTTGGTCTGATGCCACATGAAGCCCTCTTGCTTTAGGAGCTAATTGGGTCATGTTCAGATATAAAATCTTGTTGATGGCTGGGGACACTTGAAGGATCCTTCACAGGGACTCATTAATCTGGCAGATGCATGTGGCTGTAATGAGAGCAGCAGGCATTAGTGAGGTATTAAAACACACCCAAGATTATGAGCTAAAAATACATGCCATACAAATAATAAACTAATTATAGATAAATTTATAATGTAGATTTAACCATAAGTTAGTTGTAAAGAGAAAGCATTCATAATCTAGCTTCTAGAGGTAATACTTCGAACACTCCCTCCCCCCTCTAACACACACACAATCATTTTAATACTTTCTTCCTTTAATGGATAGAGACAGCTTTCCATGTTCTGAAACATATTTATCTCATCAAATACTGAGCAATTAGAAGTGATTTAGATAGAAGGTGTACTGGTTTGTGACTGGTTGGCAATAGTTTGCTGCTAGAGAGAGAAGGATGTATGAGGGAGGAGATAGCAGAGTGTCTATGTTTCTGCAATCTACGGCTCCCAGTAGCTGGACCCTGGCTGCAGAGCAGCTGGGCTTCAGGGAGGTGTGGTTATTGGAGGAAAAGACATCTTACCCCCTTGTTGGGCAGTCAGCACTCTGGGCTGCATCTCAGTGTCACTGTGGGCCATTTATTTGGTAAAGAATGCCACCACCTCTCCTGGCCTCAGTTTCCCCATCTATAAATTAAAGGGATTAAGTTTAGTTTTCTTCTGTGCTAACTCTGATTGTGTGTTAAGTAATTTGCAGTGGGATTAAGGCTTGGGTGTGACTCTTACTTGTCACTGCACAGTCTGGTGCCAGGCTGGCTGCACCCAAATTATCTGAGGACGTGCTTCAAGCATGTATTCCAGGGTCTTCTTCCCTACCCTTCCACTGGGGTGAGACCCAAGAATCTGTATTTTAGCAACCCCACGAGTGGATCTTTTTCCTCGCTAGGGTGGTGTCTTCTCCAAAGTCATCCACCTGGTTGTATCTAATCCAACTCCGGTTCTGACAAGAGGTTCGTAAAAAGCATCTTAACCCTAATTCCTTCATGGAGAACAGCTAGGGTTGTGGGATGCTCACACAGTTCCTACCTTCAGGCCTCCAGCAGCCTGGCTTCCATAGCACTTGGCCTGTCAGCTTCTTACTGACTGTCAAGGCCCAGCTCCCCCCCTCTCCTAACCGTACCCCCACCCACTCACCAGGCCCTTGTCCCCCATCCATTTTTATCCTTTTCCACTCTGCAAAGCATCTTGCTCCATATGGTTTGGCTCAGCTGCTGCAGGGCCATGACCACCCTGAATGTTTGTACCAGGGGCCTCCCCAGACTGTCCTGGATTGAGTGGGAGATATTTTTCCTTCACCTGCATTCATTTCTTCCCCTGTTACCTCATTTTCCAGGAGGCTTGTGTTTCTGACACATATAGTAGATTTCTTTATATAGCTTTCAGTGCTTTGAGCTATCTTATTAGTGGTTTATTCCAGAGACTTCTCATACATGGGGCTGTTAATATTTAAGGGCCAAATTCCTTTCCCTTCTGATTATTAAAACACACACATAACACTTTTAAACAAAGTGTAGCTAGGTTAAAAAAAAATCTACCTCTTAATTTATGCATGATTGGAGTTAGAGAGATTCTAATCTTATTAATCTTATTATTTTATTTCACACCTAAATAATTATTTATGTCACACTTTGCTATTATTTTCCATTTATAAATAAGAAAGGAATAAGTCAGTGTTTTTTTTTTTTTTTTGAGTAGTCTAGTATATCAGAATCACCTGGATTATTTGATAAAACCCAGATTCTTGGCCCTCATCCCAGACTAGTGAATAATCATCCTGGGGGAAGAATCCAGGAGTTTGCATTTCCCATGAGATCTTTGGGTGATTCTTTTATAAGCTGAAGTCTGGGAGCTCCAGTGTTAGGTGGTGGGAGAATTTAGGAGAGGTGGGGAGGACTGAGAGGTAGCCTGGTGGGCCCCAGATGCCTTGGAGTTAAGTCTCACCTCTGCCCTGCTTGTCTGTGTGGCTATTCTTTTTGCTTGTTTTGCTCCTCGCTGGAAGATGGGCAGACCTGTCAGATCAACCTCTTTGGCTGACCTGAAGTGACTGTGCAGTTAATCTACGTAACATGTTTAAAGCAGTACTCACCTGTGGTAGGGGCTTCGTATGACTTTGCTGTCAATACTACCCAATGCTTAGCATGGCACACACACCTACAATTGGATGGCCTCTTTGAGGGAGGTGAGCAGACCGATTTATCAGCAGCGGAAGTTTCGGTAGGTTAGTGGTTTTCCAATGATGGTGTGCCAAAAACCCACTGGTCATTGGAATCTAGGTCAGAATCTAGTATCCTTCCAAAGACTCTAATTTAATGAACTTAGAGTGAAGTTTCGGGATCTGTATTTAAGATGTTGAATGTCGGTGATCAGCAACTTTTCAGAAGCCACAGTCAGGTTAAAAAAAAAAAAAAAGATGTTATTTAAAGTTGATGAGGACTGAAATTTGATTGGAGCTGCAAATAGAGTGGGCACTGATTGCGTCTCCACTGTCTGCTTCTCCACCAGGTGTGTCCTGAAAGCAGCAGAAGCATCCGGGAAGTGCAGTGTGCCTCCTATAACAACAAGCCGTTCATGGGTCGCTTCTATGAATGGGAGCCATTTGCAGAAGGTAAGAACAGACCCAGCCCTACTCAGAGAAGATCTCACTCTGCTTGATGCTGGACGAACTGGTGTGATCTTGACCATAAGAGAACAGCCAAAATGGAGAGTGCATGGCCCCTGGCAATGGGGAGTTTGCAGGGGGTCTTTCCCCAAAGCTCAGGTGACACCTGGACTGGCAGTCTGATGGAGAGGCCTTGAGAGAAATGGGCAGTGTCAAAGGCTGGCAGAGTGTGTGGCATGGGATTGGAGGCATGGGTGGGAATAAGAGGTCTTAACTCAGGCCACGACAGATGAGCGTGATGAAGTTTCCCTTGATGGTGACCGCCACCAGGCGGGTGTGTTAGCTTAGGAAGACTTGGAGGGATGCAGGGCTGATAGATGTCTGGTGTTCATGTGATGTTGGCCTCTTATGCTTTTTCTGAAGATGAAATGAAGCAAGCAGGCATTGCCATTGGGAGCAAGGTTCTTGCCATTTGAAAATGACAGAAGGTCTAATGTTGGTAAACTTGTCCAGACTGTGCTGGATTCCAGAATCACAACTTTTCTTTGTTGAAACTTTAGTGGTAACGTAACTGTTATTATTGTAGATTTCTCAGTCTCACAAAGTGGGCTCCAAAGTAGAACTGGCACAACATGTGGGTTTCTATGCTTCAATAAAGTTGGCCAGAAGGAAAGATCCAGCTACCCTGAGGGCCCACCCTTAGTCCAAGGCAGTGACTGTGAGAGCTGGTGTCCTCCACAACTCAGGGTATGGAGCACTGCTGCTGTGTCCGAGATCTGGAGAAAGTTCCTGGGGAGAGAACTTGCAGTTGTGCAGTGCTGATTTCATGGCATAATCAATTTCCCAGCGAGTCCAAACTATGGAATGTCCTGCTTTTGGTGGAAATCCTGAGAGAAGGAGAGAGAAGACTTATCTATGAAAGCTCTAAAATTGGATGCAAAATAGTTTCGGTGCATTTTTCTCAGCAGAGTCTGTAGCTTCTATTAGATTCTCAAAGTGGTCCCATGAGCTCACAATTGTTCAGAACTAACTTGACCAAAAAGTTAGAGCTACCAAGTGCAAACAGGAAAGACGAACATGTAAAACCTAGAGCCTTGTGTTACAAAAACAAGAGTGTGTAAGAAGCTAGAGGGTGAGCATAGGGAGAAGCCTGAAGGGAAGTTTTGATGGTGGGGATCAGACCTTGGTTCAGAGAACTTTCATTCTGAGAAAGCATCATATTAACTGCAATGTAGTCTTCTGATTTGGATCCTGGAACAGAAATAGGTCACTGCTGGAAACCTAGTGAAATACCGACAATGTGTAGAGTTGACTTAATAGTATTGTGCTGGTGTTGATTTCTTCATTTCTGTAAGGGTTTTGCGGTTCATAAGATGTTGACATTCAGGAAGGCAGGGTAAAAAGCATACAGGAAATCTCTATACCACACTGATGATTTTCTTAATCACATATTCTTTTCTTTGGTTTACTTTCTTGTAAGAAGAGAGTGTTTAATGCATGTAACATACCAAGTATACATTCATCAACTGTCGCGTCAACTGGAAGACTTCCAGCAACAGTAGGCCAGTAGTCATGAAGTTTGGGGGAGTGTGGATTTCCAGCTGCACTGAGTTTGATGTCCTTATAAATTCTTAGTTGTTCAAGAGTCTAAGTACTATGAAGAAGAAGGAACTAGATTGATTGAGATCAGGTACCACAAATGGATCAGGGAGTAGGGTTGATCTGACCAATACAAAAGATTCCCAGAGGAGTTTAGGCACCTCTCTGAAGTGACGGGCACCTCATTGATCTAGGTATCTCCAACACAGAGTACTTTGATTTCCCCTTTACTGCTTATTGAATTACTGAGGAGCTCTTTGGAAGTCCTGAAGTTTAAGCCTCTTCTCCAGAGACATGGCATAAGGAGTCTGGGAACAGCCTGGGCACTAGGGATCTTAAAGATCCCAGTGAGTTTCATGGAAGCACTGTAGTCCAAGGGGAAAGCAGACTCTCAGAAGAGTGGGAACATGAGCCTCACAGAGTTAACAATCATGGTGCTCTATAACCCATGAAATATGTGGCCATTGAGAGGAGTAACCCTGTCTTGGTCTGAGCCATACCCAGGCTTTACTGCTAGCTGTGACTAATAGCTGCCTTGTTGTGATGAGCTGGGGCTGTGGCAAGTTCCTGGAGCAGGACACTGCACTCTCCTGTGTCTCTGGAGCTAGAGCCATGTTGGAGAACCTCTCTGCATGCTATGGGGTGGTCATCCTCCAGTCCCTGTTCTCCAAGACCCCTTGAGTCTTCCAGGTCCCCATAGACTCAGTCTAGTATCAAAACTAGACCTACACATGCCACAAAGAACAACAGTTATTTTAATATTTTCACATATCACCAATGTTCCCTGCAGATGTCTGAGAATGTCTGATATGCCTGGTTTATGTGTGATTTTGCCTTTTCTGTTTGTTTGTTCCTCCTGATTTGTGCTAGATTTTTAACTGTGAGACCTGGGAAACTTTTAATGTTTTTGAAAATTTGACTCAGTTTTTAATTTCAAATATATGTAAAAGTAGAGAGAATTTCAGTGTAATATATGCAGATATAATACAATAGCATAATAACAAGATTTTATATGCCCATTACTTAATTTCAAAATGTATCTGCTTATAGCCAAATTTTTTCATCCAGACCCCCAAATTGTTGTGAACAATTTGAATTCATATTACATAGCAGTATTCATGGTTGAATAGATTAATGAGAACTCCTTGTTGTGACAGAAATGTAACCTTCATATATTTAAGCAAGGGAAGTGTCTTATTGGTCAAATTACTAGGAAGTCCAAGAGGTGACCTGGACTTCAGATATTTTGTATTCTAAAGGAATTTGATAACATTAAGACCCTGCCTTTCATGGTCTTTCTCATCACTTCGTGTGGGTTCCTGTGAGCTGGCCACTCAAGGGCAACTGTGACCTATTTGCTATCCACAAAGATTCCATGTCAAAAGGGCAGAACATTCCTTGACTACCTACAGAGTATAGCTCGTATCATGAGGCAGGCCCGGGGACACCTAGATCACTGTTGGCATGATGACATGACTATTGCCATGACGGTCTTGGGATAACTGCCTGTGATAACATCATATGCATGGTCACGATGTCCCTTTCCCTGTCCTTTGTAAAACTTCCCCCCGCCCCCATTCCTATCCTATCCTCTGGATCCTATTCCTCATACCATTGTTGAAAGATCAGCTTTTACTTCTGCGCCAGCAGCAGAGTGTTGCCTTGCCTTGCAAACCTGCTCCATGGCTGCCGAGTCCCTCACTGCATTCCCACTTCAAAGTGGCAAAAAGTTCCTGTCACAACATCTTCACCCTGTTCACTTTTTTCCTCAGGCAAGTAGGCAGGTTGGCCTGGCTTTGAGCTTGCAAACATAGTGATGTGGGTTAAATTGCATCTCCCCCAAAAGGGAGATCCAACCCTTGGTGCCTTGAATGTGGACTTATCTGGAAATAAAAGTCTTCGTGATGTAATTGAGATGCAAGTTAAGAAGAGGTCACACTAGTGTAGGATGGGCCATTAGCCCAGCATGTTCTTATAAAAAGAGAAGAGGCACAGACACAGACAGATCACCCCGTGGAGATGCAGGCGCAGAGATAGGGACAGTGTCCAGGGAAACCAAGGCAGAGATTGGGGCTGTGCAGCCACAGCCAAGTGCCACCAGGCAGCTGCCCCAGAAGCCAGATATCAGGAAGGGAGCATGGCCCCACAGCATCCTTGATTTGGCATTTCTCATCTCCGGAACTGCAAGAGAAAAAATTGTTATCGAAAAAACTCCTACCATGTAGTATAGTATGTTAGGGCGAACTGGAAAGTGACATATTTAGTGCCTGTTTCAATCACAGAAAAAACCATAAAGCCATACTGTGACCTCATTTGGATCACATTCTTGTCCCTGAAGCTATGTTCAGGGCATGGAGGTGCTGGGACAGCCCAGCCATGTGACAACTCTTTGGTGCTGGATCCTTATCACATGAAGCAGCAGTGAGGAAGTGGGGGTTGGGACAAATGAAAAAGCAGATTCTTTATATAAATCATTATAGACTTCTTGACTCTAAGCCACTGAAATTTTAATGAGCCAATGAAAATCCTGGTAAAGAAAAATGCAAAATAATGATGGATTAGAGAAACTAGCTATCATCTACACCGTGTTATACTGAGAAAATTAAGTCTTTCTTGAAAATGTTTCATAACGTTAAGATGTATTATGGGCCTAGGCGAGAAGGAACTCTTGGTCTCTAAGGATGCATGGATCCTGGCTTTGTTAAAATGCTTTTTTTTGCTGCTAAGATTGTTTTCTTGATTTTGTCTTTCTTGTGCTTTAAGGACTCCCAGGCTAACTAGTGGGAGGAAGTTGCTGTTAATGTCCCTGCAGGGTGTTCATACTTTACGACTGGATTGTGCGTAGGGCTGTTGGTTCTGTTTGCAAGTCTGCTACTATTCGCCTGTGCCTACTTAGGGAAACAGCTGCATTCATTCGGTGCAATGCCACATAGAATAGTAAAAGCAGAGTATACTCTGATAAACACATTAATTTCACTACATGGCTCTTCTTACGCCTTTAATCATATTTCCTATCTATGGCGACAATCCTCAGATATGCCTCTAGGAATTTTTCTTATAACTGCAAAAACATTGCAGAGACAGAAATGGAACTAGGGTTTCTTATCCCTGTTTACCTGAGGCTGTGTCTGACTTCCCAGTTTCCCTTCATTCTTGAAACAACTGTGGACACTGCATTATATCGTGGGCCTAGTAGGACATTTTACTAGGAAAACTCTTGTTTGAAAATGATTTTATGACTTAAACCTGCTTTCATGCCTAGGGTTTTGGGGCTGTGCAGCTTAGCGTGGTGTTTTGCCCAGTCACTGGGAGCTTTACAGAAGTAAGTGTTAGCATTAGTCTTCATCCATATGCTGGGTGCTGTCTGTTAGGGTAACTTAAGTGTACTGTGTGGCCCTGGGCCTCAA